TTTTTTAATTTTTTTGCTAACACTTTTAAGAATAGTTTCTGGGGAGCCTGAGGCGGGCACATTGTTTGAGCCCAGGAGTTCCAAACCAGCCTGAGCAAAGTGGCCAAACCCCATCTCTACCAAAAATACAAAAATCAGCTGGACATGGTGGCAAGTGCCTGTAGTTCCCGCTACTGGGGAAGCTGAGGTGGGGAAATTGCTTGACCCGGGGTCTCAGTGAGCTGAGATTTCGCCACTGCACTCCAGCCTGGGTGACAGAGTGAGACCCTGTCGAAAAACAAATAAAAATTCTGGAAGGGTAAAGTTCGGAATAGGCCAAGCTCTGCAAACTTGGGAGAAAAACTGATTTTTAAAGTTACATTTAAAGCAAAATGCACAAAAAGGGGATGGTTTTAGAATACGGGGAATGAACAAACTTACTTATATGAACAGTTATAGAGATCTTAGAAAAGTGGAGAGCCAAAGCATGATGGAGGAATAGAGAAAAACAGATGGAAAAAAAAGAGAAATGGTCAATTCTGGGAACTCAGACCAGTGAACTTAACATGGACTCTGGAAAAATTCTGAAAATGAGTTATTAAACAGATGGTTAGTAAGCTCTTAGAGAAGCAATAGTCAATCAGAGTCAGAATAGATATGACTGAATCATGCCAAACTGAACACATTTCCTTTTTGATGGGTCTGCAATAACCAATTCAGACCATTTATTTATTTATTTTGAGACAGAGTTTCGCTCTTGTTGCCCAGGCTGGAGTGCAATTGCTCCATCTCCGTTCACTGCAACCTCCACCTCCTGGGTTCAAGCGATTCTCCTGCCTCAGCCTCCTAAGTAGCTGGGATTACAGACATGTGCCACCGCACCCAGCTAGTTTTGTGTTTTTAGAAAAGACGAGGTTTTTTCTGGTTGGCCGGGTTGGTCTTGAACTCCTGACCTCAGGTGATTTGCCCACTTTGGCCTCCCAAAGTCGTGGGATTACAGGCATGAACCACCACGCCTGTCTCATTTATTCTTTTATTAGACAAATATTTGAGCACCTACTAAGTGCCTGACACTGTGTAGGCACTGAGTATACACAAAGGAAAAGCTAGGCAGGGTCTCTACACTCATAAAGTTTACTTTGGGGTGGGCAGTACTTTCCCAATTTGGGGATTTTCCTAACCATCAGCTCTCTCCTGTCTTTTCTAAACCACAGGTGGTTATCCTGAGCTCGCATAATCCTCAGAGTCCAGGGCTCCCCTGTCTGTCCTCACCTTCCTTTTGTTTTCAACTTCACAGCAGGGAATAGGCTGGGCTGCATACTTCCTTGGCCAACAGGTGCTGTCTTTTGCAATATACCCAGACATGCTATGATTCAGGTTCCATGCAACACATATCAATCATCTAAATTTCAAATTTGGCTAACCTGCCTTTCCAGCCTCACCTTCCATTTCATTCCTTCGGTTGTTACCAGCCCCAATCCTAACCCCCACCTACAGGTATCCACGTCTGTGCCTTTTTGCTCAATATATTTTCTCATTCAGGAATGCCTGACATCTCCTTCTCCACCTATAGAAATCTAACCTATTTCCTAAGACCCAGCTCAAAAACTGCCTCCTCCCTGGATGGGCTTAATTACTTACTTTGCTCAGTAAGTCCTGCCAAAGCCCCCGTGCTTGACTTGTGCTGTACTATTGCACTCTCATCTTTCCTTCTCAATTGATTACTTGTTTAGAGCAAAGGTCTTCAGAGCTTCCACTCTGTCCAGCTGCGGTACTTTACCATAGGGGTTGGTAAACTAAGATCTAAAATAAGAATGGCTGAAACAGTTGAAAAAAGATCAAAAGGGCCTGGCTCAGTGGCTCACACCTGTTATTCCAGCACCTTGGGAGGCTGTGGTGGGAGGACTGCTTGAGCCTGGATGTCCAGGCTGCAGAGAGCTGAGATCATGCCACTGTACTCCAGCCTGAGCAGCAGAGCAAGACTGCTCTTTCATTAACCTCACATTCCCTTCAAAACCTAACAAAGACCATGTCTCAAAAACAAATCAATAGAAGAACATTTTATGACGTGAAAATTATATGAATAAACAAATCTTTATAGGAATACAGCCCATATTTTCCATGACTGCTTTTGAGCTCCAACGGTAGAGCTTAATAGCTGAGAAAGAGATCTTATGGTCCACAAAGCCTAAATATTTACTATATGGCCCAAATAAAAACTTTGCTGAGCTTGCTATACAATAAGGGCTTGATGATTAAATAACTGGGTCATACACTAAGATTCTGAACATATAGGCAGGCCCTCTAAGTTTACTGTCTTTGTGTAATGGAAGTTTTTGCCTTTAAGTTGCCATAAACATCAAATGAGATAATACACTTAGAAAAGTAAAAAACAAACAAAAAACTTGTAAAAAGGACAATTTTATCATGTATTGAAGGTGTTAGAATAAAAAACATTAAACCTTTTTATTCTCACTTCCCCTTCAGCTTTTATTCTCATTTCCTTTACAGCTTTCATTTAAACTTGAAGTTTCAAGAGAAAATTCACTTTTGAAGTTTTTACTTTTTAAGTGATAATAAGGTCACAGGTTCTTTCGTTCCAGTCTTCTTGTGTTGCTCCCACTCCCTTTTCTTTCTCACATGTAATTTTTTTTTTCGATTTCTTTAAATAGTATCTGAACTGGCACTCACAATAGCTCAGGGAAGGAGGAACTGGGACAAGCCTGATTAATCCATTTTGCAGGCCAGGAAACTGAGGCAGATCCCAGTTGTCTCCGAAGCTCTGACTCAGCATGCAGGGAGCCCTGCCGCTCTCTGCGCCTTTTCTAAGCAATCAGAACAAAACTAACCCTGCTAGGTTTCCAAGCTTGGATCTCAAACACTCCTTCATCGTTCACCCACGGCGTTCCTCACCCGCCCTGCGCCCCAACCCTCTCAATGCCGCCCCCACCTCGGAAGCAGGTGGTAGGTTCCGCACCCAGTGCGCATGCGCGCGGCACCGTGGGGCGGGGGCAGGGCGGGACTGGGGGTGGAGTGTGCGCGGGCTCGGTTTCGGGCCGCGGCGGGAGCCGGAGTCGCCGCCACTGGAGTGCGCAGGCGCCTGGCGGTTGCCGGTCTCACCATGGAGCGGAAAGGTGAGCGGTGGAGCGACGTCCGCCACGAGGGGCAACGGCCGCTGGGGCGAGGCCCGGGTCAGCGCTGAGAGCTTAGCCTAACAACTGCGGTTCGGTCCCCGGGCGTTGCGGCGCCCCTCCATTGAGGTGGCGCCGCCCCACACCCCCCGCCTCTGGGCTGCGAGTCCGCGCCCCTCTGCCCCGGCGTCCTCCGGCGCCGGCCGTCGCCGCCCCTTGTTCCCCGCCGGGCCGGCTCGCGCCTTGGGGCCACTCCAGCGCCCGGCCCTTGGCGGGCGAGGCAGACGCCCGCCCGCCCGCCCCCTGACCCGGCCCGAGACCCCTCTGGCGCATCCCGCCCGGGCGCTACTCAGCGCCCCGTGGGCCGCTAGCCCCCCGGCCGGCCGCCTCGCCGGAGCCTCCGCGCTCGCCCCGCATCCGCCCCCGAGGCAGGCCCGACCGTCCGGCCTGGCGCCTCTGCTGGGTCTCCACCCTCACCTTGGTCGCCTCCTTTACTCCACATTCGCCCTTCATCCATCCCTCTCTCCTGCAGTGCTTGCGCTCCAGGCCCGAAAGAAAAGGACCAAGGCCAAGAAGGACAAAGCCCAAAGGAAGTGAGTCTTGTACCCCAACATCCCATTCTTTGGATTTCCTCCGACACCTTCTCTGCTCTGGTTTCACATCTTGAACGTGCACCGGGTTTGGGCACCCCGTGGCCGTAGCCACATGGCCTCGGGGCAGCTTGGAGGGTCGCTCTCCAGCAACCATGTGGAAGAGAGCTGCTGTTGCTGAACGCCAGGCCTGGGTCTTAGCAGCCCCAGGCCTGCTGGAAAGGGCTATCGGAGGAGGACCAGAGCCCGCCCAGTACCTTTCCTCCCCAACTCCACAGAGGGAGGCACAAACTCTCCTAGCTTGGACCCCCCCCCCCACCCCCCTCCCACCCCACACACCGGAGCTGGTAGATCATTATCCGTCTGTTTATGAACTCTGGTCTCTCTTTCTTACCTGCTCCTAAACGTCTTAACTTGCCTCCGACGTCTGCACGGTAGGCCTTCAGGAAATTCTTGAATGAATTTTTCCGTGTTTACTTTGGGTTCTACCAACCACACACTGCCTTTCATAGAGGAGGGCATGGGACTTTTCCCTGGGTTAGTCAACTTCCTGAGCCTGTAAGGCGCATCTCCTTTTTGCAGTGTGCCGGCAGACCGCTGTGTATACAGTCAGTATCTGTTAACTGCTTCTTTTCTGTCTTAACCTCAACCAAATACAGATAATCTTCCGGAGCGGGCATCACAATAGTAACGGGAGAGTTCTTTAACAAACGTTGATTCTAGCTTGGTGTATTAAGCACCACATGTCCAGTTTTATCAGGATGCATAACAGAGGTTTAGTGTTACGGTGGCAAGTTCAAAAGTTGGTCACAGCCTAGTAGAAACTCAGATAGCAGGCTTCAGCAAGTGAGGCTAAGCCTTAAGAACTTTAATCTTGTACTAACGTTTAATTGCAAAGGATCTTGGAAATCAGCTGTTAGATAATTTGTATTCAGAGAGATTCTATGCCTAGTTCTTAATTTTAGATGTATTATTATACTTTTCCATTTAATATTTCATGTTTCGTGGGGTTGTATGCGGTCTAATTGTCTGAGCTGATACAACACATTTCAAAGACCTCCCTAGGTCACCTCACTGAATGACAAAACCAGATTAGGGAGGTGTAGGGGTGTGTGTTGTTTTTGGAGGCTACCTACTGTTTGGGGAGAGCACTTAATGACTTCTCTCTTTCAATAGAACTAAAGTAGTAGGTGACCTCACCTCTTGCTCCATTTTCTATTCTGTCTTAAGAAATGTATTTTCTAAGTGCTTGGTGATGAAGGCTTGTAAATGTGAGTTTGTGTGTGTCTGTTTGCCTTTGGATTATCCATATATGGGAACCAGTTTTTAATCATAGATTGAATAGAATAGAAACAGCAAGGTGCTAACTTGGTCCTAGTAGGCAATAGGAATTGAAATGTTTCTTTTCTTTATTTTCTGTATCTAGTTATTTGTGGAATTGATAAGAATGTGTTAAAACGTTCTTTTCTATTGATATAAGGAAATTGCAGTTTATATTACTCTATTTTTTAGAAATCCTGGTCTCTCAGACCATTTGTCCAGATTTCTCTTACCACTTGAAATTAATTTGAGCTTAGCCCAAATCAAGCTATAATTTGATAGGTAAATGTGTATAGATGATCATATACTTTAAGCACCAGTTATCTATTACTTTGGATTATCTATTTAGACCATATACTTTATTTCTAAAGCCAGATAGATGTGTATCTGTTACTTCATTCACTGCTATTAATAACCTAGAGTTATTTGTGTTGTTAATTGTTTGCAAGTATGGATTATAGATAACCCGGCAGTCATTTTAATATTTCATCTTGAACAACTTAGACTCCTGAAAATGTGTGAGTGAACTGCCCCATTTACTTGTAATTTCAGAGGTGCTTTATTTTTTGTTTTGTTTTCAATTAATACATTTTTGGTTTTTAAATTTACCTGCCTTTTTGTCTTTTTTTTTTTTTTTTTTTGAGGCAAGGTCTCCCAAGCTGCAATGCATTGGTGTGATCTTGGCTCACAGCACCCTCCACCTCCAAGGTTCAAGCAATTTTCTTGCCTCAGCTCCCCAAGTAGCTGGGACTACAGGCGTGTGCCACTACACCTGGTTAATTTTTGTATTTTTTGTAGAGACAGGGTTTCGCCATGTTTTTCAGACTGGTTTTGAACTCCTGAGCTCAGGTTCTGCCTCAGCCTCCCAAAATGTTAGGGTTACAGGCGTGAGCCACTGCACCGGCCCTTTTTTTCCTTTTTTCTTTCTTTCCTTTGCTTTCTTTTTTTTTTGAGACAGAGTTTCGCTCTTGTTACGTAGGCTGGAATGCAATGGCGCGATCTCGACTTACCGCAACCTCCGCCTCCTGGGTTCAGGCAATTCTCCTGCCTCAGCCTCCTGAGTAGCTGGGATTACAGGCACGCGCCACCATGCCCAGCTAATTTTTTGTAGATTTAGTAGAGACGGGGTTTCACCATGTTGACCAGGATGGTCTCGATCTCTTGACCTCGTGATCCACCCACCTCGGCCTCCCAGAGTGCTGGGATTACAGGCGTGAGCCTTCTTTTCTTTTTTTTTTGTTTCCTCAGCCTCCTTTTAAGTAGCTGAAATGTATAATTAAGTTGGTTAGAGTACTGTTAGAAGCTCAAGCCCCAATACTCTGTTCCCCGATTTCTAACTGCACTCCTGATGACTTCCAGTTACTTTGCAAAGGCAAGCTGCTAGTTACAGGAGATGAGTCAGAAGGTTTGAGGAAGATTCATGCCATAGAGTTTGGTCTTTGGAGGTAGATGGCATTTTGAATTCTGATTTTGCTACTTTTTAGCAATCTGACCTTAGACAAGTTAGTTAGGGAAACAGTCTTATGTATATATTGTGACTGGCAGTTCTGTCATAATGAAAACGGATTAGGACCTAAAGATATAAAAGCAAACTGGGTCTGGTGGCTCACGCCTGTATTCCCAGCACTTTGAGAGGCTGAGGCAGGTGGATCACCTGAGGTCAGGAGTTTGAAACCAGCATGGCCAACATGGTGAAGCCCCGTCTCTACTAAAAATACACAATTAGCCGGGCATGGGGGCACACACCCATTATCCCAGCTAGTCGGGAGGCTGAGACAGGAGAATCGCTTGAACCCAAGAGGTGGAGGTTGCTGTGAGCCGAGATTGAACCACTGCACTCCAGCCTGGCAACAGAGTGAGACTCTGTCTCAAAAAAACAAAACAAAACCAGAAAAACCAATGCTTTTAAATGAAAAATCTTAGAAAGTTTTGGAAGTCGCATCCTTAGTAATTTAGTCGTGTTGTGGCACAGGCAGAAGGGATTTTCAGTCCCTGGTACCGTAGATCTTAAACCCAGGGTCTTGAAGCTGGTGACAGAAGAACCAAATCTTGGAATTCAGGGCTCCCTTCCAGCTTAGTGTTTGTTAGAGTGGATTTCCTTTGGGTTCTTTTCACTGTGCTGGAGTATTTGACTTTTTGGATTTTTAATTTTCTTATTTAGACAATTCCTTCTTTTTACTTTTTCAGACACTATGCTTTTATTTAGTAACATTAACTAGTTGGTGATGACCTCCATTTTACTTTAAGAGAATTGAGGTTTGTCAGATTACTCCTCTAGAAAATTGCAAGGCTAGGATTTGAACCCAGGTCTGACATACCCAAAGCCCTGGTTACCAATCATGTGTTTCTGAGTGACAGTTCCTTTTTGTGTGTCTTACAACAGGTAAGGTAGAAGCTGAGTGAAAGAGTGAAAAGAGCCTTCTGAATGAGAGACCTCCAGATGCCTGGGAGTTTGGGTGCCCTTTCATGACCTACTGTCCTGTGTCTATGAAACAGCACAATCATCTATCTCCCTTTTGAGCATTTGATTTTCAATGTTTATACCAATAGCTGTGAACCTTTGTCTGTTTGTCATAAGCTTTTATAATTTAACAGTGTATGTCTGTTTTATTTTTTTTTGAGACAGAGTCTCACTCTGTCACCCAGGCTGGAGTGTAGTGGGGGAATCTTGGCTCACTGCAACCTCCACCTCTTGATTCAGTCCATTCTCCTGATTTATCCTCTCAAGTGGCAGAGATTACAGACACCTGCCACCATGCCTGTCTAATTTTTTTCTTTTTTTGAGTAGAGACGGGATTTGGCCAGGCTGGTCTCTTGACCTCAGGTGATTCACCTGTCTTGACCTCTCAAAGTGCTGGAATTACAGGTGTGAGCCACTGTGTCTGGTCTATATGTCTCCTTTTGAACTCGTTTCTATGGAACATAATTCCAGAGTGGATTTCATACCTACTGATTTTATTACTTACCTTAGGAAGTTAGTTTGGACAGTAATTTTCACTTTATTTGCAGTTAAATAACTACGGACTTGATATGCATTTTGTAGTAAAATTATTTAATTCACCTTTCTAACACTGATTGTGGAGTCAGTTGGGA